GAATGAATGAATGATTGAATGAATGAATGAATGAATGAATAGGTTCTACAGGACAGAACTTTTGTACACTCATTTCATATCATATGTCCATGTAAGCTAAGCGTAAATAGGCCAAACGTATCATATACAATATCATATATCATGTAACATATAAATACATCATATTTAATAATCTCTCTCTATATGTAGTGAATTAATATACAAAGGATGAATTAATAAATGTGTGTTATTTTCTCTCCAACGGTCATTGAGGGTTAAAGGGTTAGTTCACCCAAAAAATGAAAATTCTGTCGCAGTATTATGAAGCGAAGCTAGTAAATGTATATGTCACACATCAGTCAAAACAAATAGGTAAACTTTTTATGTTACATGAAATGGACTGACAAAAAACACCACATATATCCACTTAAGACACTAATGCAAATGCATGACACATTTAATCCGTCTATACTTTAAAAACAAAATGTTACTTCAACATCTTTGCTTATATTATTTAATAGCGATGATAAGAAAATATAGCCACATATCAAACTTATTGACACAAGTCCATAATCAGGTAGAGCTCTACTTTATGAAGCACTGGCACAGCATAGTATGCATGATTTGGCAAGCCAGCTGCTTGAGACCCCAGAGCGTGTTAAACCACAGCCATGTCCCCAACACACACACACTACACAAACATTTTTGTCTGCAAAAATATCTTATCTCATGCTGCCTACTCAGACAAAAACTGCAAACAAAAGCCACTGCTTGTTGCTTAGGTATGTAAGACCAACTGAAAAACTGAAACATTGCAATGAATTATTAATCAACACATTATTTTTATGCATGTATGAAGAAATGTATGGAGATGGTCATGTTAGGAAATAAAGTGACATTCTCACAAAATATAAAAATTGATAAAATAATATTTTAAAAATACAAATGAAATTAAAATATTTCATTTATTCAAATTAATTACATTCAATTCAATTAAAAAAACATAATTTGATGTGTAAAGCCACAGTTCACTTCCGGGTCAAAACTGACCTGAACATAAAAGATGCAACAATTTAGTTTAAATTGTTATATCTCTTAAAAAATAATTGTGGGGGGAAAAATTTATTTTGATGGCTTTAATCCATTTGCAGTTTTCTTCCTCATACTAAAAATTGTATTTATTTATTTTTTAATTTGTTTGTACTGCTTCATGGGTCAAAACTGACCCGAACGCAATAGGAGGGTTACATTCAATTAAATTTCAATTAAATTAAATAAAAATATGTTTTAATTTTCAATGAGCCAAGAAGAAAATATCCCCATGCAGAATTGCAGAAATGATATGATCATTTAATCCAAAATACATCTCTGTACCACAGAGGGTCAAATGCAACTGATCTCATGCACAGTGCCACCTTACATTAGCTCACTCACCGATGGGCTGAATATAGGGCTCAGTATCAGTATCTGAGGTAGCTCAGTTTTCTCATAGTCCTTATTTCACTCCTCTGTTCCTTTATATTCTGGTGGAGGCACACCCCTGGTCATGTACACAAATAAACACTCACACTAAGGCAAATGCTCTACACATGCTACTCGGACACACATGCACGCATGCTCATATGTGCTTGCAACTTTTCCCCGTTCCTCTTAGAAGCTAACTCTATTTATAGGCCTCCTACAGAGACCTGAGGGTTTCTCTCTTTCTGCCTGTCTAATGGGGGCATGATTCCCAGCTGGTGACCTCAGACATTTCCAATGCGGATAATGGGAATAACAGAGGTCCAGTCAAAGATTAGAAAAGTAAAAACCCCCGAGCACTATACCACAAATCCAAATGTTTATTTCTATAGATGTTTACAGATGAACATGCAGGTGTTAAAAAGTAAATTCTCCTTCATGGAAATTTTTTAAGTGAACACATACTTAAAATTTCTATTTACTTCTAATACATCTACAATACCTAATATACACGTTATATATTCAGAAATTATAGATTTCTCTCTCGTTTTATAGAAGAAGAAAAAAAAACCTGGCAATGGACCTTGCCTTTGTGTGTCCTATCTTAATTTTATTTTTTCTGATGAAATTTGCCATACTCTTCATACCTTCTTGTCATTTTGCACTTAATCAATCAATCAAACAAACAAACAAACAAACAAACAAACAAACAAACATAAAACAAGTGGTTTGAACAAATGAAAATAAATAAATGAATAAATACTCCATGACTCTACAGAGGACAAATAGTTTGAAGACTGTAAATGAATGAATGAATGATTGATTGATTGATTGATTGATTGAATGAATGAATTAATGAATGATTGAATGAATGAATGAATGAATAGGTTCTACAGGACAGAACTTTTGTACACTCATTTCATATCATATGTCCATGTAAGCTAAGCGTAAATAGGCCAAACGTATCATATACAATATCATATATCATGTAACATATAAATACATCATATTTAATAATCTCTCTCTATATGTAGTGAATTAATATACAAAGGATGAATTAATAAATGTGTGTTATTTTCTCTCCATCGGTCATTGAGGGTTAAAGGGTTAGTTCACCCAAAAAATGAAAATTCTGTCATTAATTACTCACATATGTCATTTCAAACCCGTAAGACCTTCGTTCATCTTCGGAACACAAATTATGATATTTTTGATGGAATCTGAGAGCTGTCTGACCCTGCATAGACGGCAATACAACTGTAATGTTCCCAAGTCCAGAAATCGTCTTATAATCAGGGTCATCTTATATTCGGGCCAATACGGTACTTTTTGTGCGCAAAAGAAAAAAAAACGACTTTATTCCACAATTCGTCTCCTCCGCGTCACCCTGTAGTGCCATTTTGGAGAGTATCCGCTGGACGTAAACAGTGTATGCTGTTCTGTGTCAGCTGCATCACAAGGATACGCTGTTTCCATTCAGATCAAATCACAACAACGTGGGAAACAGATCTGGCATGACGCAGCTGACACAGAACAGCATACGTTGTTTACGTCCAGCGGATACTCTCCAAAATGGCGCTACAGGGTGACGCGGAGGAGACAAATTGTTGAATAAAGTCGTTATTTTTTTTCTTTTGTGCACAAAAAGTATTCTCGTAGCTTCGTATAACATGAGGGTGATGAGGGTGAACCACTGATGTCACATGGATTATTTTACCGATCTCCTTGCTACGTTTCTGGACTTGGGAACATTACAGTTGCGTTGCTGTCTATGCAGGGTCAGACAGCTCTCAGATTCCATCAAAAATATCTTAATTTGTGTTCCGAAGATGAACGAAGGTCTTACGGGTTTGAAACGACATGAGGGTGAGTAATTAATGACAGAATTTTCATTTTTGGGTGAACTATCCCTTTAAATCCTGATCTGTGAAGGTGTCAATGTCATCCAGCAGATGGCGCTGTGTGAACTTGGTCCAACTTTACACTCGCTTTATAAACCACAGAGCGGTTCATACAGGAATAAGCAACAGCGCGCCACAAAACTCGGAGCTGTCGCCATTTACCTGTAGCTTTTTCAGGGATATCGGTGTTTAGTTAATTTGAGTCCATTCGTGTCGTAGCCTAATACTTAAGTGTTACGGGAGAAACAGATCGTTCCGTGAGGAGTTCAGTAAAGAACGCGAATATCAGGGAGTGTAAGTTAGCATCCGCGGCTATCTGACTAAACGCATCAAATCTGACAGCTAGCAATACTTGTTTCAGTTTTAGCTGATTTTGCTGACCGGAAAGTTTTGATATTTTGATTATTTTACTTAACATTTATCATATCGTCCAAGGAAATCTATTTCTCAGATATAATAATCGCGAAGACTCAGGAGGCCGCGTAGCTGCGCTGCTAGCTTCGCATTCACGAGTCGGCAAAGGGGAAATTGAACAGTCACTTCATATCTTGGAAATTCTGTGGACCACTAACTCTTCCCTTTACAGCTACACCCCTACACGGACTCATATTGTTTGAGGATTTATCATTTTTTCTCCTTGTCTGAAAATTTTCCTCCTCTGTGTCCTCAACTTCCACCGACTAGCTGCTTCCGGTGAGCTGGCGACGCCGCTCATCTCAGGATAGATAGACTAAAGTAAGATAATCGAAAATGCAGTTTATATGCTGGGGAGCAGGGTGTTGTATTTGTCGTGTTTTGTTTCTTATCAGTGAGGTGGGATAGTCGGCGTAGTATGTTTTGAATGCTTGAACATAAACTGAGGCCTGGGTTGAATTGAGGACAGGACAATGAGGAGAGAGAAATGATGTAAACATTACAAAAGCGCGTGTCTGTTAATGCCTCAGCAGCTGTTACAGTCTTGTACAGTTTTGGAGGTCAAAATTACCTTAGTTTTAATTGAAACTGACACTGAGTTGACAGTTGAAGTGATTCAGTTCAGTTTCTGATGTTTAGTATTGTGAATGTTTTGCTGGTTCACTTTCATTTGAGATTTGGGCACATTTAAAAATCATAATTTTACATGGGATATCATATAACAGTTAACCTGAAAAGTGTAATGTATGGCTCACTTTACCTGTATTTAGTTTACGATCACCTTCATCAATTTTCAGGTCACAGAAAAGTATCAGGGAAATCAACAAAACAGTAAAAAGTAAAAAAAATGAAATAAATATTGTAATAGCTAGCTTTGTGATAGCAGTCTTTATGAGATACTGGCTGAAGGAGGAAAAAAGCTGTTAACTGAATCATAAAAGTTGTGACAATGTATTTCATTTATTAAAAGTAATATTTTGTTTTGATCTTGAATACATATTTATACTGTTTATACTCCTTGTGATGAATCGCTCCTGATTTTGCAGCTCTCTGCCTCCTGCCTTTGAGGTGTGAGTCAGCCAGTCTTCTTCTCTGTGGCGGTTCAGGACAGGGCTGTCAGTTATCAGTCAGTGATGTCAGAAGAAGGAAAGCAGAGCGCCGCACCTGCCCCTGCATCCACTATGGACACGAAGTCTGAGTCCACAGCCTCGCCACCTACCGGCCAGGGGGTTTCATCGGTGTCTCCTCCGGTGTCCACAGTAGCACAGCCTGCACCACCTGCAACTGAGGATGAGGAGGAGGAGAGTGAAGATGAATCTGAAATCCTGGAGGAAAGCCCCTGTGGACGCTGGCAGAAACGGAGAGAAGAGGTACATTCCAAGTCTTTCAATAGCTTTGTGTAAAGAATGGATCAAAATGTAAGCAATTATTTACTGATAATGTTCCGCTCCTCAACAGGTTAACCAGCGCAACGTCCCAGGTATCGACAATGCTTATCTTGCCATGGACACAGAGGAAGGTGTGGAGGTGGTGTGGAATGAGGTCATGTTTTCTGAAAGGAAGAACTTCAAACTACAAGAGGTAAAACTACTAATTTTGTGCCTGCTTTGTTGTTTCTGTGACAAAGGTTTGCAGTGACGGGTAGTTGTGCAGTCTACGGAGTCTGACTTTTTTCTGAAATAACGGCTGAAACTTCAATGATATTCATTAAGAAAAAATGTGGGGTGTGACTTGATTTTATGCTTCAGTTACATACCAGATTGGAATCAGATTGAATGCATGTTTGCTAAAACCTGCTTTCATATCTATTTTAACAATGTCCAATAGCATGCACCTTAACAATGTCATTGTGATGGAAAGTTGTTTCAGATGAAGATTACATAAAGTCTAGGGTCAATATGATTTAAAAAAAAAAAGAAATTGATACTTTTATTCAGCAAGGATGCATTCAATTGATCAAAACTGACAGTAAAGACGATTATAAAAGATTTCTGTTTGAAATAAATTTTGTACTCTCTATTCATCAAAGAATGCTAAAAAAAAAGTTTCATGGTTTCCACTAACATATTAAGCAACACAACGGTTGAAAACTAATGAAATTTTTTTCCTTGAGCACCAAATCAGCATATTAGTATGTTTTTTGAAGGCTCATGTGACTGAATGGCTGCTGAAAATTCAGGTTTGCTATTATAGAAATAAAATGCATTTTAAAATATATTAAAATAGAAAAGTTATTTTAGATTGTAATAATATTTCACAATATTAAACACCTTATTGTATTTTTTGATAAAATATGCAGCCTTGGTGAGGTTTCTTTCAAAAAAAAAAATCTTGCCGTTTATAAGGAACATGCATTAAAGTAAATAGGGTCAGTTTTGATATCATGTTGATCTTAGTTGTAACCAGTATGAATGAACTGATAGAGTTTGCTGCTGAATGTTTATTTAAATGTGACGTGAGCGTTCTGGTGTGAAAGTTCACCAGTGATTATTATCTCCATACATAGCCACAGATTCAGCTGTACTGCTTCCTGTGTTCTTGCTTACTAACATGTTAAGCCGTGAATTAGCAATACCAATGAGTATTTAACTATGAGTGTTAGGACAGCTTGATTGCTTCACAGAATGAGTGTACTTACCTTCATTTCTTGGGTGTAAGCTCCTTACATAAAGTGGTCTGACCTGTTTGCTGCCAAGCCTTTATGGAAACGGCAATCTCGCTCAGAGCTACTTATGAAAAGTATTGTAAGAAAAGCATTCTCTGTGGTTATGTAACTATCTTTTAAGTGTTGAAATATTTAAAAGGTCATTCTTCTCTTTCTAATATAGCATACTTCACTCTGTCATTGCCTGTGAGCGCTTTTAATCAAACTCGATTCATTAATGCCTGGCATAGAGTCGTGGACAGCCATCTGTTTGGCCCGTCCACATGCTGCGCTCCGCTCTGCTTGGCAGACACTCTTTGTGGAATTCAATAAGTAATTTTAGAGGTTGCGTTTTGACAGGCTTTGCCTTCTACAATGCTGATTGCATTTCCCATAAAGACATAAAAAGCAATTGAGTTTTTCCCTTGATCTTTTAAATAAGTTTGTTGTTATTGCATAATAAAGCGAAAGTTCAGTATTATATTATAATAACCTGTTCCTCTAAAAGTCAAGACGTTATGTTACATATTTTGTCAAACAGCTCCCTCAAGGTTAAATTAATCTAATTTTCTTTTTATGTTTCTCAGGAAAAAGTCAAGGCAGTGTTTGATAACCTCATCCAGCTGGAACATGTGAATATAGTAAAGTTTCACAAGTACTGGGCAGATGTGAAGGAGAACAGAGCCAGGGTATGAAACGCAACAACAAAAATATAAAAAATGTCCCATTTTTGGAGTTTAATCATTTTTTTTTGTCACCCCCTTCAGGTTATTTTCATCACAGAGTACATGTCTTCTGGGAGCCTGAAGCAGTTTCTAAAGAAGACAAAGAAGAATCATAAGACCATGAATGAGAAGGTAGCCTAATATTGCTTCTCTGTCTATTCAGACAAATAGACAAAAAAAGCTGTGAAGACATAATGCACTGCAGACTAATACATATCTTTTGTCTTAAATTACTTGCTTGAATGTTAGTAATGGTTGATCCGTATGGCACAACTCAGATTTGTTTAAAACTCTGAATGATATTTTTTTTGAGAGAGTACTATTTGCTAGTAGTTTTGGTACAATATTAATAATTTCAAATATAGGATATCATAAAAACAAAATGCATTATTTATATGGGATTAATGAAGAAACCTGCTGTAGTATCAGATGGTTATTTGTCTTGTCAATGCCAATAACTCTTTCTGGGACTCTTCTAGGCATGGAAACGCTGGTGCACTCAGATATTATCTGCCTTAAGGTGTGTGCACTTCTCTATTTTTACTATTTATTTATTTTATTTATTTTTTTGTTAAAATGCTAAGATGTTTACCAGTAATGTGGAGATATAATTGGAAATGTTGACAAATTCCTCATTGGTTGCTGGAAAGTTTTCTGTGACTGTTATAGCTGTCCATTTCTTTTTGTTTTGATGTTCCACTATAAGTCTCGTGGAGAGCTCCTATTACACTCTCATTTCTCACCGTTCTTCCTTCAGCTATTTGCATTCATGTGAACCTGCCATTATCCATGGGAACCTGACCTGTGACACCATTTTCATACAGCACAATGGACTCATCAAAATCGGCTCAGGTGGGCTGAAGCACACTGTTGGGTATGACTGTTTAAATGTTACACATTTTATTATTGTTGCTGATGTTTTTGTGTCTTTTTGTAGTGGCTCCAGACACCATTAATAACCATGTGAAAACATGTCGGGAGGAACAGAAGAGTTTGCACTTCTTTGCTCCAGATTATGCAGGTAAAACTAGGTTTTAAAACCCCATTCTACAGTCTTATTTCAATGCACTTGTTAAAGTAAAAAAATGGCTTTGTACAATTTGCTTTTTTTTTCCTTCATCCACTTCAGCTGTTGCCAATGTCACTACAGCCGTGGACATCTATTCCTTTGGAATGTGCGCCTTAGAGGTGAGTGCTGTTTGTTGATCATTCGTCAGGGTATCGGTCTGACCAGACCAGTGATTCAGGTTTTTCTCCCACTGTTTTAGATGGCTGTGCTGGAAATCCAAAGTAATGGAGAGTCCTCATATGTGTCACAAGAAGCCATTAATAATGCCATCCAGTCTCTGGAGGACCCACTGCAGAGAGTGAGTATAGATTGTCAGTACTTAAATTATTTGCATTCAAAGATTGGCTACTGTTCAAATGGGGCCAGTCTCTTACGCTGAGCAAGGCTGCATTTATTTGATTAAAAATACAGTAAACATTTTAATACTGTGAAATATTATAATATAAAATAACTAGATTTCTATTTTGAAAATTTTCAGCAGCCATTACTCCAGTCTTTACTGTCATATGATCCTTCAGAAATCATTCCAATATGCTTATTTGCTACTCAAGAAACATTTATTATCGTTATTGAAAACACTTTTTTTATGAAAACTTTGGAATTTTTATAAAATATGTTTTGTGAACTTTATTTTTATGACTTTTTTTTCAGGATTTTTGATGACTAGAAAGTTCAGAAGAACCATATTTATTTGAAACATTCCTTTTTTTTTGTAACATTATAAATGTCATGTTTTTTAAAATCCATTTAATCCATTCTTTAAAATTATCCTGAATTATGGACCCAAACCTTTGCATGGTAGTGTAAGTTGTACAGTTTTTTTTGTTTGGTTGGTTTTGTTTTTTTTTGTTCACAATTGAATAATTGAAAAATTCTGTAAGATGTTATACATGTGGAATTTGAATATGCATATCTGCAACAGGCTTTACAGATTACAAATCAAATAAATAATTTGTATATTCAGTTAGATTGTTTCCCCCCACACTAGAACATGATGTTGCATGTATCCAACTAAATTTAAATGACAATCACAAATATCCATCAGTAAATCGGGAGTGTTGCAGTATAGCTGAAATATGAAGAATTATGCATATAGTAGCATAACACAGCACCTGACCACCTGAAATGGTTCCCTCCTCTCTTTAAGAATTTATGGTTAAATATTGTAACCATTATTTTTTTCCCCACACACCCCCATTGGTGACTGTGTCTGTAAGAGCCGTTCAACTTTTCAACAGAATAATGTTATTCTTAATATGTATGTACTAATGGATGTGAAGTGTCATGTTTCTGTGTGTGTGTGTGTGTGTGTGTGTGTGTGTGTTTTAGGAATTTATTCAGAAGTGTCTGGAGGTGGACCCCAGTAAGAGGCCCACAGCCAGAGAGCTGCTTTTCCATCAAGCTCTGTTTGAAGTGCCTCTTTTGAAACTATTGGCTGCACACTGTATCGTCAGTCACCAGCGTGAGTCATGAGCTAATCTCATTATCATTCAGACATTTCATTTCATGTCAGCTTCATGAATGGAATACAATGAAGCTAAACGCATTGAAACCATTTTCCCTTTTGGCTTCTAGACATGATCCCTGAAAATGCTTTAGAGGAAATGACCAAGAACATGGACCCCAACCAGGTCATTATGGAAAGGAAAGAGGTCCAACTAAAGTGAGTCTACTCCTGTGATTCATTTGTGCCTTGTTTTTAGATTTAGGTTTCAAATAAGCTGTCATGCCACGTAAATGGCTTCTGTAACCCTGTCTCTTTTTCCATCAGACTCTCGCAGTTTCCTGCTTTGGAGCTTGACAAGTTTCTTGAAGATGTGAGGTGAGCTAAAAAAAAAAAATAATCTTAATAATCTTACCAATTATTTATTATTTTTAAAAAAGAAGATTCTGTTGGGCCAGATTCAGATGTTAAGAAAGCAGTAACAATGTTCAAACAAGCACAAATATAATATCAACATGTGCTCTTGGTTCTCGTGATGTAGGAATGGGATCTATCCGCTGACTGCCTTCGGCGTGCCCTGCCCACAGCAGCCTCAGCAAGAGGCTGTCAAGTCCCCCATCGTGCCGCCCTCTGTCAAAACGCCTACGCCTGAGCCTGCAGAGCTGGAGACCAGGAAGGTGAGAAATGGACTGATTTAAGAGACAGTGACCGACTATCAATGATTAAGAATAAATCACAGTTTTCTCACCTTCCCCCGCTGTCGATCAGGCTGTCTCTGTGTGGCGTATTGCTACTTCCTTCTCAGACAAACCTAGATGGGTGGTTACAGTCAAAGTCAACAGGATTTGCAGTCATTTAGCATCATATGTTTGTTTTAAACATAATCTCTCTCTTTTAAGGTTGTGCAAATGCAGTGCAACATCGAGCCTGTGGAGGAAGGAGCAAAACATCATGTAAGCCTTTTTCCTATTTATTGCTGTAATGACGTTGAAGTTAGACGATAATTCTGTGTTTATATCTCCTCTCTGCTCTTTTTATAGCTGACCTTACTGCTAAAACTGGAAGATAAGCTGAACCGACACTTGAGTTGTGATTTGGCACCAAGTGAGTACTTTATCAGGCCCCAAACACACTACACAAGCATGTAAACGCTTCCAGCTAGACAGCTTGATTTCACCTGCCGTTGTGTTCTGAAATGTGTCAGAATGAAGCACAAGTATGCGTTGCATTCTCAGCTGCAAGAGACGCAGCTATAATGGGCATCAACTCAGTCGGTTTAATGCACAAACCAGGGCCAGACCTCTCTCAGAGAATACCACAGTAGAGCTTGGCACTATAACGCTAGTGCAAATTAGCATAAGACAGCTTTTTCATCTGTACCATCATGGCTTTTTGTTGGGTAGCACCATTACAACTATTTTCTGCAGTTCACAGCCAGTTTTCGTCATTTAAAGAGGGTTTCCCTCCAGTCTTAATGAGCAATTCATGCTCTTTCTTGACTATAAGGAAGGAATTCTCTCAGTTCATCTCATTGGACCTGTTATTGTCATGGCTGAAGAAGAGCCTCTTCATTTGAAACCCAACACAGGATATCCTGTCCTCATGATAAACTGTGCTCCTCATCAAGTTCACACTTTTTATTAAACTGATATCTTGCCGTTTACGCAGCTTGCAGCGGTTTGCTCAGCATTCGATGGTCATCCGCTGGTCAACAATGTATTTACAGTCAACTTTGATTTCATCTGGAAAGAACCTCAAAGCAAGGTCACCTATAAGCGGCCTCAGTATCTCTGCTGAAATCAGTAAACACAGCCGTAGACGCACCCTAGGCTGGCTGTTGGCATTGTCAAAAGGCAAAGTTTTTGGGCAAACCTTGAAGCAGAGATGCCCTCATGTTTGGAATGTTGAGTCAAAACAATCCTTCAAAAGTCGTCCCATGCAAAAGTAAAACCTATTTTGTCTAGTAAAAATTTTGAAAAAGTAATTCATGCTTTTATTACATCTAGATTAGACTACTGCAACTCGCTGTATTTTGGGATTGGTCAGTCAGCCCTATCCCGCTTGCAGATAGTTCAAAATGCAGCTGCAAGGCTTTTAACGAGTACCAAAAAACGGGATCATATTACACCCGTTTTACGTTCTCTGCACTGGTTGCCTGTATGCTATCGAGTTAATTTTAAAATTCTTCTCTTAGTGTTTAAATCATTAAATGGTTTGGCCCCTGCTTATTTATCTGATTTATTGACTGAACATCGGCCCCTCTTGTCTCTCCGGTCGTCCAACCAGAGATTATTATGCATTCCAAAGTCGAAGCTTAAATGCAGGGGTGACTGCGCTTTCTCAGTTGCTGACCCTAGATTGTGGAATGCTCTGCCCCACTGTATTAGATCTGCACCTTCAATATCTGTTTTTAAATCCATGTTGAAAACCTACTTTTTTGACTTGGCGTTTTATCAATGAGAACTTTTCTACTGTACTGTTTCTTTTAGTAATTATTTTGTATTGTCTTATTGAAATGTTTTTATTGTGCAGCACATTGGTCAACCCACGGTTGTGTTTAATAGTGCTATATAAATAAAATTGACATTGACATTGACA